ACACACACACACACACACACACACACACACACACACACACACACACAAATATTCATAAGCAGGTGAAATTTCTCCAGCTATAGTTAATATACTTTAAAACTCTTTTCTGCCTTCAAAATTGTTTTAGAAACATAATGGATACCCCCCCCCCCAAAAAAAAACACCCCACCATAACAAGCAAGATTTTCAGAAAGATTGTTCTGCCCAGCTCCAAATTTCCACGTTTGGCATTGCAGTCAACATCTCTGGTGGAGGAGAGAAAGGTGAATGGATGCAGACAGAGAGATAATGCTATGTAATAGGATTTAATCATTGCTTTCTTATATAGGCTCCTGGAGGTTAAGCACTTAAGAGAAAGTGTGCCCTTAAGAAAAATTTCACAGCACTAATTTTCAAAATAATTTTTATTTATCTTTTCCCTAATAAACACAAGCGTATGTGGGGGGGGGGGTATGTTAGGGTTTTTTTTTTGTCATATTGCTGAATGTTAATGGTGTAAGCTGCCCGGAATCACTGTGTGCTAGTTGGGCAGCCATATAAATGTGTTATATAAATAAATAAACAACAAGGTTCTTCTACTAATCCAAGCAAAATAAGCATTTCTATCAGAAAAGTATATAAAGATACAAGTTTTATAGAATTGATTTATATATGATGTAAGAAATACTATTTTGTACTTTAGAATTGAAATACTGCTCCTGTGAAATTTTTGACAAGTGATATAAAAGAAGCCCAAGTAATATGGTATTTATTTTTTTGAAGAAATAGTGACCTTGCCATTACTGCTCAAGAATGATAGGTTTGTAGGTATCCTATCATCTAGTATAGTACAAATTTAGCTACTATTAAAAGGAAGAAGATAGAATCCTTTCTATTAATGAGGTAGCATCATCAGTTTCCAAGACAAGCATTAATCAATTCAGCAATGGAGTTTGAAGATTGCACTAATCATGGTTGTTAAGCAAGCCATGATTGACTATATTGGTTGAGTTCAACCAAAATTAACCACAATGATGATTTACAGAAATGATTTAAATAGTTATCAAATTACAAGTATGGGACTATGGACTGATATATAAACTCCCTCAAAAGTGATGAGATCCTGGTGGCATAATATAAACTTCTCATTTTTAGCTTGTTTGTGCATATCAACTACTTTCTCATAATTTAAAACCTATTCTTTGGTGTTATCACATATAGAGACAATATGTTTTTTTAAGCTTGTGTTGTGTGTGTGTGTGTGTGTGTGTGTGTGTGTGTGTGTGTGTAATATTATGCCTGAAAATGCTTCCCAGAATAGTTATTGAAGTGACATTATTATTCAAATTGCCCTCCAGCTTCCCCCTTCCTGCATTTTATTAAACTTCGGGATTAACTCTAGTGAAATGTATGTCTTATCAAACTGAAAAATGACTACTAATCATAAACAGTGGCTCCATCTGTTTCTACTATCAGGATTAAGGCTAAAGAAACATGGAAATGAGGGGGGGGGGTCCTTGGTGCTGTCTGAGCTTGGTTGTTTTTTTCCGCAGAGCTTCATTACCCAAACTAGTTAACATCAGTGCTAATCAGTAAAACATCTTCAAGAAAACAACCAAGCTCAGAGAGCATCAAAGACATCTCATTTCGACCCTGAGCTACAAATATTCTCCTTTATTGGAAAATAGGAAATAGTTGAAAAGTTGTCAGAATATCTGTGTGGCTTTCTTGCTGCATTATGTCTGGGTTGTATATTTCAGGCTATGCTGGCTTAATCATTTATTTCTCATCTGCAACTGAAAAGAAGCAGAAATATATATGTGTATGCGATTGAGATATGTGTGTGTGTGTGATATGTAACACACACACATATTCCTTTCCTCCTTCCCTTTCATCTTTTAGCCTGTCAAAATTTATTTATTTATTTATTTTCATATTCCATAAATATGAAAGACCTTGATAGCACTTCATATGTAAAAATGAAGCATTTTTACCCTGATGTATACTATCCTTGAGAAATATGCCAGACCTCTGTACATTTTGATGTCCCTTTGTATCAAGCATAGTGAAGGACCAATGATATACAGTAAATTCCTAAACAGCACTGGATTCTTGATGTTCTTTACAAAGGGGTAAGATGGGTGGCCAATACATTTTACAAATAAATTTATTTTTTGTCTCAGTATCTCTTCTTTATTTTGTCTATCCATGCTGATTTCTGGTAAAATAAAACCTAGAGTTCCCAATTGAGGCACAAGTGATCAGGCTCATCATATTTGGGATGTTATGCAAAGATCCTGAAATTTTGAGAAGTTTATTATTCTGGGGAAAACAGAAGAAAAGCAAAAAAGAAGATGATTACAATAAAGGGGACTATGGAGGCACTGGTGGAAGGTCTGAAGAACAAGAAATAATATGTCTATGGGGTCGCTAAAAGTTGGCACTGACTTGGTCCATAATCATCCTTTCTGCTTACATATCTTGCATGTGTTTCTTGCTATTTGCTTCTCAGTTAGGGAAGGTGACTCCTTCCATCTCTCCATTGCCCACTTAGCAATCCATATGATATATCAATGCACTGTGTTTATCCTCTTCTGGGACAGCTTACAATCCCAATGGATTGTGGAGTAGCATTTGGCTACACATTTTTCGTTTTAACTACAGAAAGCGGTAAGTATCCAAAAACAAAATCGCTAGTGGATTTCGGATTTCAGAGAGCAGATTTCACAAAACTTGGGAATGAACATAGGCATACTAGAATCAGAGACTTAGTTGCCTTTCTAAGTAATAAAATAACATTCTTACATGCGAAAGGTCTTTGTAGAAATAGTGGATGGCTATAGTCCAATAATTTGGTTGGAAGTGTTACCAAGCCTGCTGTGAAAAGGCAAAAGATAAAATGAAGTGTTAGAAGGCATGATGGAAGCAGCAGCATGGATAGAGGAGAGTAAACTCACTAATTTGCTTCCTAGTGAATGGATATTTTTGTCTGGCCATGTCCCCTATGGTAGCAGTTTTGTAAGAGTGCCTATGCAACATGCTCTTCAGATTCTTCCAGTTGTGTCCACTGGCCTCAGGCTTGCAGTTTAGCACACTGGCTCTAACCCAATATTTCCCTATTCACATTCTCTGATCTTTTCAGTGAGAAGCTGTGCAGGAGAGCTATTCTTTCGTTCCTGGGAACATGATAAAATTTTCTGTGTTATGACAGAGCCGTGGGCTGGAGATACCATGTGTATCCTCCTGGCCAGTACATATAATCCTATATAGTATTCAGAAAACCTGAGCAAGTGCTGATTTCAAATATAAGTTGCACCAAAGCTGCATTTCAAAGCCGTCTATATATTTATTCTTGTAACACACTCAGTACAGGTTAGATAAGCATTGTCACCCTGGCATATTAAAATAATGAAACTATAAACAGCACTAAGGAAATTTATGCTCCTATGGTAACATGGGTGCTGGGGCAAGGGACTTTGAAAAGGCAGAATCAAAAAAAAAATCTTATATGCCAGGCTTCTGACTTCTAAACCTGCATGAAGATAATAGCCTGGTTTAATATTTGCGGAGCTTAACTGTAACACAAATAAAAAAAACTTTGGACACATTTTACTTCTGCCCAATTCTCTAAATATCCTTCCGGTCATTGCATTCATTTTTTTTATCTGGGTCTAGCATTAGGCAGCAGACTCAACCTTCACATGAGCTGTTAGAAGATGGAGCATTACCTAAATGAGGCTGCCAGTTAGCCTTAAAAGATGCTTTCTTATTGCTGCTTCTTAGCTGTTCAACTAAGATGTAATGGAAAAAGAAAGGAGACAAATCCTTCATTTCGCTTGTCCAAAGTCTTGCGTTGCCAAGAAGTCCATCAAAAATCTTCAGTACTGGGAAAGCTCTCTTGTAGTTTTC